CATTACCATTTTATAGGAGGTGGCAATATTGCACTGCCTTTGAGGGCGCCAGACTGACAATAGAATGACTACAAAATGATATAGATATTCTATAAACACTTGTCAATAAAAAATTAAAATGTTCTTTTGCTATTTGTCTTGTTAATAAAAAAAACTATTTTTGCCGTTTGTCATTTCGACGCCTGCCGTGCCAGTGCCAAACATTAGAGGCAATAAAGTGACACTATAAAAATTTGAACGACGGCTATAAAAACATCACAGCAAAAAAAGGCGGTCACATGTCCATAGAATGGCGGTAGCTATGTTCATGGGGGTATCCGGGTCAACAGGATGATGTCTCAATAATGATTAACATCTTGCCTCCTGTTTGACTACTTGTAGACACCTACTTCCATTTGCCAATATGCCTTTCAAAAGGCATTACCATTTTATAGGAGCTGATAATATTGCAATGCCTTCGAGGGCGCCAGACTGACAATAGATTGACTATAAAATGATGTACACATATTCTAAACACTTGTCAATACAACGCTAAATGCCGTTTGATTGTCATTTTAATGCCTCCTGTGCCAGTGCCAAATATTAGAGGCAATAAAGTGACACTATGAAATTTTGAACGACTATAAAGACATCACAAGAAAAAACGGTGGTCACATGTCCATAGAATGGCAGTAGCTATGTTCATAGGGGTATCTGGGTCAACAGGTATCTGGGTCTCAATAATGATTACATCAAGCCTCCTGTTTGAGTACTTGTAGACACCTACTGCCATTTGCCAAAAATATGCCTTTCAAAAGGCATTACCCTTTTATAGGAGGTGGCAATATTGCACTGCCTTTTGAAGGCACCAGACTGACAATTGAATGACTATAAAATGATATACATATTCTATAAACACTTGTCAATAAAAAAGCTAAATACCGTTTGATTGTCATTTTAACGCCTCCTGTGCCAGTGACAAACATTAGAGGCAATAAAGTGACTATTAAAATTAAATGACAGCTATAAAATAACACAGCAAAAAACGGCGGTCACATGTCCATAGAATGGCAGTAGCTATGTTCATATGGGTATCCGGGTCAACAGGATGATGTCTCAATGATAATTAACATCTAGCCTGCAGTTTGACTACTTGTAGACACCTACTGCCATTTGACAATATGCCGTTCAAAAGGCATTACCATTTTATAGGGGGTGGCAATATTGCACTGCCTTTGAGGGCACCAGACTGACAATAGAATGACTATAAAATGATATAGATATTCCATAAACATTTGTCAATAAAAACTCTAAATGCCGTATGATTCTTTCTAATGCCTCCTGTGTCAGTGCCAAACATTAGAGGCAATAAAGTGACACTATAAAAATTAAACGACAGCTATAAAATACACAGCAAAGACGGCAGTTACATGTCCATAGAATGGCAGTAGCTATGTTCATATGGGTATCCGGGTCAACAGGATGATGTCTCAATGATAATTAACATCTAGCCTGCAGTTTGACTACTTGTAGACACCTACTGCCATTTGACAATATGCCTTTCAAAAGGCATTACCATTTTATAGGGGGTGGCAATATTGCACTGCCTTCGAGGGCGCCAGACTGACAATAAAATTACTATAAAATGATATAGATATTCTATAAACACTTGCCAATAAAAATGCTAAAATTTTTTTGTCATTTGACTTCAATAAAAAAATGTTTTTTACCATTTGATTGTCTTTTTAACGCATTCTGTGCCAGTGCCAAACATTAGAGGCAATAAAGTGACACTATAAAAATTAGATGGCTATAAAATAACAGCAAAAAATGGCAGTCACGTGTCCATAGAATGGCACTAGCTATGTTCATAGGGGTATCCCGGTCAACAGGATGATGTCTCAATAATGATTAACATCTAGCCTCCTGTTTACTACTTGTAGACACCTACTGCCATTTGCCAATAATATGCCTTTCAAAAGGCATTACCATTTTATAGGAGGTGGCAATATTGCACTGCCTTTGAGGGTGCCAGACTGATAATAGAATGACTATAAAATGATATACAGATATTCGATAAACACTTGTCTTTAAAAACGCTAAATGTCGTTTGATTGTCATTTTAACGCCTCCTCTGCCAGTGCCAAACATTAGAGGCAATAAAGTTACACTATAAAAATTTGACCTATAAGACATCACAGGAAAAAACGGCGGCCACATGTCCATAGAATGGCAGTAGCTATGTTCATAGGGGTATCCCGGTCAACAGGATGATGTCCCAAAAATGATTAACATCTAGCCTCCTGTTTACTACTTGTAGACACCTACTGCCATTTGCCAATAATATGCCTTTCAAAAGGCATTACCATTTTATAGGAGGTGGCAATATTGCACTGCCTTTGAGGGTACCAGACTGATAATAGAATGACTATAAAATGATATACAGATATTCGATAAACACTTGTCTTTAAAAACGCTAAATGCCGTTTGATTGTCATTTTAACGCCTCCTCTGCCAGTGCCAAACATTAGAGGCAATAAAGTTACACTATAAAAATTTGACCTATAAAGACATCACAGGAAAAAACGGCGGTCACATGTCCATAGAATGGCAGTAGCTATGTTCATAGGGGTATCCCGGTCAACAGGATGATGTCTCAATAATGATTAACATCTAGCATCCTGTTTACTACTTGTAGAGACCTACTGCCATTTGCCAATAATATGCCTTTCAAAAGGCATTACCATTTTATAGGAGGTGGCAATATTGCACTGCCTTTGAAGGCACCAGACTGACAATAGAATGACTATAAAATGATATACCCCTATAAAAATGGCTTCCGCCATTCAATATACATCTGACTGACATCCTATTGCCCCTATCGCCATTCGATTGCTCTCGCTTGAAATTTATGGACACGGTATTACCCCTTTATTGAAGTTTGGCACTGATGTGGTAGGCGCTACAATGGCAATCAAATGGCGAAAGAACCCTTTAGCGTCTTTTTATTGGCAGGTGTCAATACAGAATTCGGGTATCGTCTTTTTATACTCATCCTATTGTCAATCAAGCGCCCCCGGTGGCAGTGCAATACCGGCCAAATTCTGCTGCAAGTAAATCAAACTTTAGGTACAAACCATAGTTATAATATACGCTAGAGGTTCAATTGGCTCTTGTGTTCCGCGGCAAATTGAAGAAAACCATACATGGTAAATTTCTTCCAAAATGTAATTTAATTACAATTACAATCATTTCGCTCCAAAAGTAGTTTAACCATAATTACAACTACTACTATGTGAAAAATAATATATTACAATTACAAATTACATCAAAAAGTAATGCAATTACTTTACAATTACTTATTTCTGGGAGCGACCATTTTCGTCTATATAACTTCAAACAACATGTTAAGCATGCAACGCATTTCTTCATTCCTTGCCCAAATGTTTGAATCGCCGAATATATGTCACGAATTGTACATTTTTTTGGTAAATTTTCTTAAATTAATGAGAGAAGTTAACAATTTGGGATAATGAAATCCTACGTTCTTATATTTTCAAAAAATAATAATAAATTAGTTTATATACACGAAGACACCAGATCACTAAAATAAAATTGGTTGACACACCTTTGTTAGCCAGGCAAATAAAAATGTGACAATTAGCTATATCTGAATATTTTAATAGTGTTAATATATGACTACATTCTACATCTACACGCGCTAATACAACCATATTTACAGACAAACGTTTCATTTTTTTCTAAATTATTTACAGTGAGTTGAAATACAATGGCTCAAACTAAAAAAAAAAGACCCGAATGTGGGCTCCCGAATCCATCATGACAATATCCACAGGTGCGAAGTCAGCTCAAAAATGCTTATGCAAATAATATCCGAAGTAAAACCAACGAAAAATAAACGTGAAAATAATACAAAAAATGCGACAGTACTCAAAGAGGGGCGCAAAAAAAACTGGCAAACAAATAAATAAAAAAAATTACTTCATAGACCCTAAAAACCTCAGCCTCGGCCGCCTTTTTTTTTTTTTTCTGAAATTTTGTTTTGTTATTTGACTATATTTACGACATTTCTTTTTTATGACTAACACTGAAAAAAAGAAAAGAAAAATGCTGTCGACGACAGTGCTAAAAGCGCGAGCTCGTTGCTTTGGATCGCGCGCCACGAGCGCTCCTGCAGCGGGTGCAGTCATGCCAGTCAAGGCTACTCGCTCGCCGCTTGCACGGCCTTCGCAGCTATTCTATGCAAGGGTGACAATCCGTCGTATTGCACACAAGTACAGCTCCAGAAAAATGCGTACGAAATTACTGCGGCTGGGCTCTGTCGCCTCCGGTACACGTAATCTTCATTTGCAACAGGAGTGACGGACGGCACCGGGCGAAGTTTGAAAATGGAGAACGCTTATTTTGATGTTCCTGAGAACGCGACGAGTACAGGCGGCAATGTTGACAACACGCACCAGCGCGGACACCGCCGAGCCGAGCACCCGGCCACACACACGCCGAGCTACCGACATTTCACAATGCAGTCAGCGGCATCCAAAGAAAACGTGTTGTTGACGTAGAAATAACTAAGATGTCAAAATAAAAGAAAGGGGGGACGGACAAGGAAGACTTCCCGTTACCAACACGCTCGTTTTGTTTTTAATTTTTTTTTTTTTTCAAAATAAAAGCTGCTATTTTTACGTCCATGACGCCATTGTCCACGCCCCCTGGATATCCAATCGGCGTCGAAAATACGCAGCCTCCGATTCCAAACCGAAACTGAAATCCCGTCGTAGTTGCTGGTAGTTATGTGGCTAAGCGAAGTTTCGTATCGCGTATAAAACTTTTTTTTTAATACATCTGTTTTAGTTTTTTAAGTTTGTTAAAACGTTTTATTGTTTCGTTTCGCCACTGTTTTACGAATAATGTTACGTTAACTTTTTTATTTTCGCATTTATTATGCACCTGGAAATAAAGTCGTTTACAAGCCAATCCAATCCACCCTGAACTTCATTTGCGTCGAAGTTTCCGAAGATTTGTTGCGGTTTGGTGTGTCTTTTATTTTTACGTAGAACTCATATCGATCCGATATGCCGCGTCCGAAAATGGATTTTGCGACTAATAAGTGGCGAGGCACCACGCGAGCAAGAATGAACAGCCCTGGAGGTTATGGGCACTGCTCAATTGGCTCATTCCTCGGTGCTTCTCGAAGGTAAGCCTTTTTTCTCTGTGTCCTCCTAAGCTTCCGTTCAAGCATCTCCTTGGTTTGTTTCCTTGCCCTGCCTTTGCCTAATCGCGCCCGAGAAGTGTATTCTGACAGGTATTTTCCTTAGGCGAGCATCTCTCCTCGCGCTTTTCGTCAAACCGTCCGACGGGTTGCGAGTTCTAATCGCGAAGCCATGATTCGGTCACCCAACACGTCGGTCGACCTGTCAAACGTTTTATCGCACGTGGGTCGTCACTTCGCGTCGGCACGCATCGCTGCCTACCCATATCTGTACTGGCTAGGTTTCTTTGTCGGCCCGCGCGTCTTATCGCTGTGGGTGATCTCAAGCGACGCGAGCGAAACGCGTAAAAAAAGAAAACATTGTGGTTGGAGCCGTTTGATCTACTGCACTATATGTATATATAGAGAGAGTAAAGCTATACGCACTCCGGAGTGCACTTCGGACGGAAATGGCTATACGCACTCCTCCGAGAGATCATGCCGCTCGGGCCACCCTTTTAGAACGGCGCGTGTATCACTGGGGAGCTCGTTAACACAGCCCCCCACCTGCGTTCACGCCGCTTCGCGGCGACGGTATCGGCTGCTAATTACAAATCGTAACCAGTGCACGCCGCTTCGCGGCGTCCAGCCGGCAATCCAAGCCCCGCTGTCCCCGATCGCACCTCGAAAGGGAGTCCCATACCATTTAGTTTTGCAAAGTTTCTCAACACTCGATTTTTTTTTTTTTTTTTTTTTTTTACTGTTTATCGCAAAAAAAAAATGCCTTAAATATTGCCAAATGCCTCGACAAAACAAAATGTTTGAGAAAAAAAAAAAGAAAAAAAGCAGGCCTACTGCGGATGGAACCTGCGTCCACTTGCGTATGAAGCGGACACCTTGACCCCTATGCCATGCCTCCGCTTAGAAAATTCGTTGTGACCACTCGTTTTATGCGAGAAAAGCGGAGTGCGTATAGCCATTTCCGCCCGAAGTGCATTCCGGAGTGCGTATACCTTTATGCAGAGCTGATCCAACCTGCACTCTCTTTTGCCATTGCCGGTAGCAAATTGTGTCTGTTTAGTATTGCACACCTGCCAACTTCCCCGTATTACCCAGAAGTCTTTTAAATTTTGATCAGTTTGTATGATTGACAGAAAAACTTCCCGAAAAGAGAAATTACCCTCCCCCTCTCTTTTGTACTAAAGAGTTTTTGCCATCACTGTGGACGGCTGCAATCCCATGAGCATAGGCAGTGCAATATATAAATATAATGAAGTTGTCTTCATGCAAATTTGTTCCCAATATTTCTTTTTAAAACACCCCCCCCCCCCTCCCCTGCTTAGAAATTATCCCGAATTCGGTGTCCCCAAACTTGGAAGGTATGGTACTGTCTGTGCCTTTTCTATCTTGTGTCATTTATGTAACGTAATATATCTGTTCTTCATATTTATAATCGCTGCAGGCCTGGTCAAGGAGGAGTTGCTCAGTGAACTACTAGTTTGAGTTCCCTGAGACGGACACCACTGACATCACCTACAGTGCCGAGGTACAGGCTTAATGGCAGATATCAATAGGAGATGATGGTAAGCTGTCCTATTTATTTAGCAGTGTCGGAGTAACTCACTTGAGTTTTCATCACTGTTTTCGCTGACAGTTTGTTGCCTGCACACAAAAATGGTCCATTATTTGTCCATGTCCATTAAAATTGATGCAGCCTTCACACTTCTGCGGTTTAGAGCGATTCGCAGACATGTCGATCATAGTCGAAACAGCGTGGCTCATCATTAGAGTTGAATGCTGAGTTTCGCTTAAAAACTTTTTGGCCACTTCGATCACTACAAAACATTATTTGCCTTCTCAGGTACGCGTCACGTCTGTTTGGTTGGACAGCCACCAAGTTGACTTGGATGTCAGCGCTTGTTGTCATCAGAACCTGGTTCTTGTGCTGCCACATCATTTTTGGTGGTGGCGCTGTCGTCACCTCCCAGCGCTTGCGCTCCCCGAGTTCCCATTCAAGATGGTGAGTGGTATACTTGTGGGGGCCTCGCTGCTGCAGGTGCTGCCATGTAGCTCTGGCTCGTGGTGGCTCCACCGCCATCATTTGTGCTCCCTGTGATCCCAGCCGGAGTGGTGACAGGGATTATGCAAGGGCTCTTTGTCGCAGGTGCTGCCACGGACTTTGGCTCGTGGGGGTGCCGTCGCTACTGACAAAGCCTTTGCTCCCCGTCGTCCCTGTTGAAATGGTGGCTGGAACTTGGAGAGGGTTTGCCGCCACAGCTGGTCAGTTCAAGTTCCGCACATTCTGCCGTAGCCCTTGGGAATTCGTTCCTTCCATGTTGAGGTTCTAGTAGGAGAAGTCCACCGCTGTTGAGCTACATGTCACCACAGCAGTCAATCTGCAGAGGGGCATGGCCACGTGACCACACTTCTGAAATGTTAGAGCCTTGTTGTGGACATGGAGGCCGGTGTGAGAGATTTAATATGCATCTGGCACATCTGCCCGGCGAAAGAACTCATGGGTGTGCCACATGGAAAGTGAGCAGACTGTGCAAGTCTCTTTTACAAAATGGCGCTAACAATAGGTAGTGTCTGAATCATTCTTGTCTTACGTAGGTGATACTTTCTAGGCGTAATGTGTTAGTAGATAGCTATGGTGTTATTGCTTAACTCTGAACAAGATACAAAGTATGAGGCATTTTCAGGCCAAGTAAAAAATTTCTGCTCACTTTAATCTTGAAGATCTTCCAGAGTTTCACATCATCCAGCAATCCTGAAGGCGATGCACCACATGTAATTATAATTAATATTCCCGCTCTTAGTTTACCAGGAAGGTGTTCAAAAAATTGTAAGTAGTGTTAGTTGCTTAGGAGAGCGATGTGTTGCACCTTGGCGTTCCATTCACTTTGGGATGAGGTGCTTCATTCTTGTGCGTCCTTGGTTGTTTCCTTAGCCCCTAAAGATGTTGGAGATTTATATGTTTTATTTTTGGGGAAACCATGTTATGTTAGTATCTGGCATGCTTTTTTTTTTATTGCTGAAAGCTGTTTGAAGTGAGCCTTTTGTCCACCTAAGAGCATAATGATTGGGAGCTTCACTCAGGTGTGTTTTCTGGCCACACCGCAGAGCATGATTGTAAGCATCGATGCATGCTATTGATACCAAGATTGGGACTTCAGAGAGGATCAGTCAAGTCTTCCTATTTTTATTTCCATTGATTCTTTGGCATTCTAGATATCTTTTTGTAAGCGTGTTCACGTAAGCTTGTTCAACTTTCTGGGTCATAGTATCGGGTCGTTCTGTAATTATCATATGCTTTATGCATTTGTTATTAGTCTCATCTGAAGTTGTCATGGGCACATGGCTGACACATTTGGTGCTGCTTTGATTTGGAGGGTAAATATTGTCCGCCATAGGTCTAGCAAACTTCATATATTCTGCACTTCAAAATTTTCTCGTAGACCTGATTACTAGGCAATAAGCTCCTTTTCAATATGTGCATTTACTTAAATTGAAAAGCCAAAAGGCTTTTAATAATCAGCCACATGCAGAATAAGAACAGTGTTTCTGCCACCTAGTGTGGGAGAAAATGGGTGGGGGGGGGGGGGTGGAGGCCAAAGCAAACGCAAGCAGTGTGAAATTATACAACTCTAGGACTTATATGCGGGGTAAGTGAGGAATTTGAACTGTCTACCAAGACCATGTAGCTCACACATTTAGCAGAGGATAATTGGGTTTGATTTAACAAGGTATTGGGGTGGTTGTAAAGCTCCTATACAGCCCCACATGGAGTCACCCTGCATGCACTGATCTAGACTGCTCGTTTCACATAGATTTTTGTGACCTATTGATCTAACTGCTTCTTTTATTTGCAAATTTTTGTGTTATTCAGGATAATTGGGAACCCAGCAAAAGGTTGGCATGTCATGGAGTAAACATGCCATTGTACAGTGTGCTTCACTCTAAAATGTAATGCATGAGCAGTGGCCAAAGATGATGACACTTGTCTAATGAGGAAATCAATGATACTGCACAAACTGAAGCATATCTTCCTGGGACCGTTGCCATTCCCCTATACAATTATTGCATGACCTCCTTGTTTTTTTTTATTGCCCTCAGTTAATTTGACGAGGACTGGATTGCTGTTATCCTTAATAGGTCGGCGTGTCACGTTTATCTTGAGGTCCAATTAACGGGAAATTTGTTTTGATAAGTTAAATAAGGGGAACAACAAAATATTCAGAGCAATGTCTTTTTTTTTTTCTTTCTATTTTTTTGCATCACCGAAACATTTATTGGTCACCGCATTGAAACTGGGAGTATAACGCACGAAGAGAACTGCAGTTTGACCCTCCAGTCTCTGCCGTCAGACGATGCACACATTCTGCAACATAAGTGCAGGATCAGCTTTTTTTTTTTTGGGGGGGGGGGGGGGGCGGGGGCGGGGCGGGGCGGGGCGGGGCGGGGCGGGGTGGGGCGGGGCGGGGGCGATTTTTCTGAGATGACATGAAAATGTTGTGTTCATCACCATCAAAGTGATTTGTTGTCTGCATGTTCCCTGCTTTAGTGACAAGGCCACTGACAAGCCGCTTCACGGGTACTAAATTGAACCGCTTCACAAGTTGCTCAAACAATAGTGATACACAAATGGCAGTACGAGGACAAGTTGAAGAACTACAAGTAGCGCTTGTCCTATCACTTCTTCAACTTGCCGTTGTCCATAGCACTATTTGTGTTTTGCTCCTCTTCATCTGCTTCATAAAGAGCAAATATATAAGGCTGCTTAATAAAATGACAGCGTCCGTCAAATCGGTAAACATTTCTCTGTAAAACATTATGCCCTGGCCAAGTCCAAGTCTCGTTTTCACGATGAGTCGCATAGTGAATCGGCTAACAATGGTTGATGAATATGATGTAGTTCTACTGAATCAGTAGCATACTTCAATCTCTCTTCTGCACAAAACCTATGTTTCGGAGCGGTTGACATAGTGTTTTCTCGACAGCCGAGGGGCTTGAAGCAGGTGCTTAATGTCTGTGAGCCTCCACCATTGAAATTTTAACTTGTCACTTGCTCTAGAACTTGATAATGGAGCAATGGCAGATTTTATGAAGTTTGCAAAACCGACGTCGGAGACCTTCGAATGGGAAAGGTTTACAGGGCTAGAAAAATAATGACAGCACGTCCTCACTCACAATTATCTGTAATAAAAAGACGGTGCCCAAAGAACTGTAGCTAGTTTTAAGTGTCACTCGCTGAAGCGGTTTGTATATTGTGTTAATTCCTGCATTATGCTGTTTTTTTTCTGTTTCAGGATCCAGTGTTACATTCCTGTGGCTTTTTGGTTGTTTCCCAATTATTGAAGGAGTTGCAGGCTTATCATGGGCGACACAGTGCTTTGGTGAGTGTACCTTTTATTTACTGCTTGGCCAATCAAATCGAGTGGCTTTGCAGGAAACTCTCTACAGTTTCAGGATGTTTGAGGGTGTGTTCTCCTTCAGACATTCTGAAATGGCACAAATTTTTTTGTGCTGCATCACTACACTCTGTTGAATGACCAGCTGAAATCGTAGTAGAAGCTACATGCTCGTTGGACCAGTCATATGTCTACCTTTCGCCATGTGTTACACTCCCGCCCATAACCATGTGTAGAAGGCGGGGTCAGGTAACGAGAGGGAGGTGGTTGATTGATCCGGTGGGTGCATAGTTACCACCACAGTCAGCTTAGAGGTGAATGTTAATTAGTCAAGCTTTAAATAGGTCACAGTACTCAAAGCTTGAGGAACACCTGAGAAGTTTTAGAATGTTTTTATTTACCGTGTCTACTCGCTCCATGAGTCTCAAACTACGTCCAACTCGGCTAGCCATCAAGCCAATTTTCTTTCGCCGCCAAGCGGCCAGGCCACTTCAAACCAGGCAAAGCATAGCGGTACATGCTTTCATGGCTGCAAGTGTGTAGTTGCGGATGTGATCAAGAGTGAAACCGAGCGGCGCATACACGTAACAAAGCTGGGGTCGAGGAATTGCCCAGCTTTGGACATGTTTCGCCCACCGAATGCATTGATGTCAACAAACACGCGGTCATCTGTAGTGTGCCTTCGGACAGTGAAATCGTGAAAGTGGTTAGGCCTAAGGACGGTCGCGTCACTCACCATGCTGAGTGAGCTTCCCTAGTAAAAAAATTTAAATGTATAAAAAAATTTATGTCCAACAAACGCGTATGATCCAATAAGTTCATATAAAAAAATACAAGAACCTTATAAAAACATATAAGAACAATATAAAATTATATTTGAACTTATAAGAAACTTCTTTTCAGTTTCTTAAAACTTCTTATATAATCTTATAATTTCCTATATTGTTCTCATACGTTTTTATAAGGTTTTTATATGATCTTATTTGGTCATATGCTTTTATTGGACACCTAAATTTCTTACATGCAAGATTTTTTTACTATTCACTAGGAGGGCGCTTTTCCTTTGACAGAAGGCACACCGAAAGCACCCTAAAAAAAGGTTTTCAAATTGTAGAACATGGTTATTGTAGCGCACCCACGACCAGCCGTCAATGCGCCTCCGTCAGTGGAGACATGCCACAGTACTTTGCCGTGTCATACTGCCACCTAAAATTACATTTTCGCGAAGTGTGTAAATGCAGAAATTTACCCTGCATAATGAACGCACCCCCGAAATATATGTCAATTTCAGAATAAAGAGGTGTGTTCATTATGCGGGTAAATGTGGTAAAAAAGTGAATGATGACTCAAACAAATGCAAAACTCATACATTGGAATTTGAAAAAAATCACCAACCATATCCTACAACAAGGTCCCAACGTTTCAAAAACAGCTTGTTTTTTTTCTTCAGGGGTGACTGCTTCCAGATAGGGGACAACAGCTTTGTTTCCTTCTACGATAGTCTCTTTTTTTTTCACTTCGTTAGGTGGCTGAGTCCGTTCACGTAGCATGATGGCAATGTGCCAGTGGACCTATTGATGTTTCCTGGTGTTGTTTGGATATGCCATGACTATAAAAAGCTGCTGGCAGAAGTTTGTCTCAACATTTATGAGGGTGTTGGCAAAGTTGGTGCGATATTCATTGTCCTCACAGTGCTCTGCAACAGCGCTGCGCTCGTGGTAGAATTTGCAGTTGTTTTTGTGTTGTTGAATTCTTTCTGGGAAGTTCTTTGTTTTTCCAATGTAGGTGGCATGGAATTGAATATACAATGCCCTGCGCGCTTTGTTTAGAGGGATGACCTTTAATTCGCAGCATCATACGTCAAAGTGTTGATACCGGTTTGTGGGACACCTGAATACTTTCTTTTACCAGCATACATGACAGCGCTTCGCTAGTCCCCTTTATGTAGGGAACACAGATGCGGGTGTGTGGACGGATGTTTTTGAGTTTTTAAGCTTTCTCCCGACCAGGCAGGCCTCTGCCAAAATGTTTACCCTCAAAACTTGCACTGCATGTAGTAATGGCTCTTGGTCTGCGAGAATTTTTGTTTTAGTTTTGTGTTTGTTGAGCATTATTGGGCAAATGACAAAGGCTATGCCGCCTCATTATGACCACAGTACAAAGAGCTATACACTTGATAACATAGTCCTGTCATGTTTTTGCTTTGAAAAAAATGTTAACACACAAGATTAATCTATTTCTTGACCCCTTGACTGGGGACCCATGAAAAAAAATTTTTGTCCCTATTTTGCCTATATTTTTTTGTACGGAACTTTTCTTGTGCTACCAGCATAGCTTTAATTTCTAAAGGAAAATTATTTCTGGTGTTAGGGGATAGATGGTGCTTCCTCCCATACGATAAAAGGAGTGAGCGTTTAAAGACGCACTCCCCAAACTGATTGAAGAGTGGTGCATCTATGAGTGCGCTCCCCAAGCTGCTGTTAAAATTGCCAAGCATCCAAAGATCTTATCAAAAGTAATAGATAAATCTTTGTCTAAGGTGAAGTGAATATTTACATTAAATTCAAGTAATGACGCAATAACAACATGGCAGTGCCCACAAGCTGCATGCGCATGAACGAATTTCACCATCCAAATGGATGAATGACCCTTTTGGCAGAACTGGACAATGAGGAAAAGGGTACCAATACTTGAGTGTAGCTTTCTAGGGGCTATTATCATTTTAAATTGCAATTCTCATTTGCTCTTTCAGCTCGCACCTTCACGGAGTACAGCAATGTGGGGAAGCAAGTCGAGGACAGCCTCTCTCGATTTCTGTCCCGGGGGCGCTATGCTCTTCCAGGTAAGCTGCTTCCCTCTCTTAAGAGACACGAGTAGACCCTTTTATTCAAGACAAGAATGACGATAATAATCACATCAAATAAAATGGGGAACAAGGGGACAAAGGAGATTCCTCTTTGACCTTTCTCCCCCTTGTACCCCTTTTCCAGGGATTATTATTGTATTCATACTTATTACATTATTGTGGAGTTCACATTTTGACAACCTGTGGTTGGCTGATGTGTTGTGGAAGTTAAAGCTATTGCACATTCAAACATTGTGTTAAATACAGTAGAACCCTGCTGCTGCATCTTTATGCAGTCGCAATAAAGGATCATGACATGAGCGAAGACGTAACTGATAATGCCCTTGGGATAGCTATAGATGTTTCAGGAAGCTGTATTCTCTGTTTACCTTACCTTAGCTTTTATGGCTGTAAAAAAGATTGCCTTATTTTATATGTTTACAATTTTTTCAACACTTCTTAAAATTGTGGTTGAACTATAAGTAACACACTGTTTACAGACAAGCTTGTGTTTGCCCACAGCAGCTATGGGCACTGCATACGCAGGAACTAGATTCGTGTGAGCAGACATGTGTGTACATGGGCTGTGTTGACAGCCGCGCCATCGCAGTGATGCGTTGTCTATAGTTGCAGTTAAAAAAATATTGAAATATAAGGATGCAGAAATTCTGAGCGCATCGAGCTAAACCACAGCTGCCTCAAACAAATCACTGCACCCTGCATGCCACATCAAAGCAGTGGGGCTTGATGCAATCAGCACGGCTTGAACGTGGTGGCATGGAGGTGGTAAAGAAAAATGGGGTGTCATGAGAGCCTGAATCTCTTATTGTCATACAAGACCAAGCAAGAAACACAGTGCAGAGAGGCAAGGAGGTAAAATAAAGGGAGTAAAGCAAAAGGAACAGGGTATGTGTTTCTAGTAGTCATGTTGGCCACCTTGAGTGGCAGTGTTAGGGCATAAGAACCAAGAAGGAAATTCATGAAGCCTATAATTCTAACACATATATACCTTTGGACGTTCGATAGGACCGGTTTCCGTGAACATAACAGCCGAGAAAACATGTGAGCAAGGTTCTTCTGTGCATATTTTTGAATGTGCTGCAAGAATATTTCTGGTTATATGCCCACTTAATTTATAATGTTTTTCTTCTTTCAGCTGACACCTTACAGACATGTCAGGAAGCAAGGAAAGGTTATTTTTTCACTCATCGTTTACATTTGGGTGATTAACTTAGTCTTGAAAAAAAAACACGTCATTTTAATGACATTGTGATAAATAAATTTTGGGTCTTTAAATCGTCCTTCAATCTTTGTTTTCTTCCCATATTCCAAGCCGGCACTATGTGTATCAGGCATGGAATCAATGGTAGGCCATGTAAACTATTGCAGTTTTTCGGCTGGCCAGCTTAAAGTTTACGAGGGGTTGACAATGGCGAAATGGTCACTAAATTCGATCAATTGACGTCTATGTGATAATTATGCCCTTATAAAAATGGTTGATGCCATTTTGTATTATTGTCAAATGGCAACAGGTGTTTATGAGCAGTCAGTCAGCAGGCAACAGATGTTAATCGTCATTGAGATGTCATCTTGTTGACCCGGATAGCCATTTCGCCACCGTCAACTTTTTGCCGTTCTATTGGTTATTGTCGGTGCATTGCCAGTGTATCTACATGCTAATGCTAATTGGCTATTGGAGGCAGTCAAAAGACTATAAAATGTATAGTCCTTTGATTGCCTCCTTTAGCCATTTGACGTTAACATGTAGATACACTGATGATACACCGACAATAACCAATAGAACGGCAAAAAGTTGACGGTGGCGAAATGGCTATCCGGGTCAGCAGGGTGACGTCTCAATGACGATTAACATCTGTTGCCTGCTGATTGACTATTTGTAAACAGCTGTTGCCATTTGGCAATAATATGACTTTCAAATGGCATTAACCATTTTCATAGGGGTACGTATTCTATAAACACTTGTCAATAAAAACGCTAAATGCCGTTTGATTGTCATTTCAACGCCTGCTGTGCCACTGCTAAACATTAGAGGCAATAAGTGACACTATAAAAATTAAACGACAACTATAAAATGACAACACACCAAAAAACGTCGGTCAGATGTCCATAGAATGGCGGTAGCTATGTTCATAGGGGTATCCAAGTCAACTGGATGATGTCTCAATGATGAACATCTAGCCTGCAGCTTCACTACTTGTAGAGAACTACTGCCATTTGACAATAATATGCCTTTCAAAAGGAATTCCCATTTTATAGGGGGTGGCAATATTGCACTGCCTTCGAGGGCGCCAGACTGACAATAAAATGACTATAAAATGATATAAATATTCTATAAAGACTTGTCAATAAAAATGGTAAAATGTTTGTTGTCATTTGAATTTCAATAAAAAAACAATTATTTTTGCCGTTTGATTGTCATTTTAACACCTGCTGTGCCAGCGCCAAACATTTGAGGCAATAAAGTGACACTATAAAAATCAAACGACAACTATAAAATAACACAGCAAAAAACGGTGGTCACATGTCCATAGAATGGTGGTAGCTATGTTTATAGGGGTATCCGGGTGAACAGGATGATGTCTCAATATTGATTAACATCTAGCCTCCTGTTTGACTACTTGTAAACACCTACTGCCATTTGCCAATATGTCTCAAAAAGCATTACCATTTTATAGGAGGTGGCAATATTGCACTGCCTTCGAGGGCGCCAGACTGACAATAGAATGACTGTAAAATGATATACAGATGTTCTATAAACACTTGTCAATAAAAAACTAAAATGTTCTTTTGCCATTTGTCTTGTCAATAAAAAAACAATTATTTCTTCCGTTTGATTGTCATTTCAACGCCTGCTGTGCCAGTGCCAAACATTAGAGGCAATAAAGTGACACTACAAAAATTTGAGCGACGGCTATAAAAACACATCACAGCAAAAAACAGCGGTTACATGTACATAAATGGCGGTAGCTATTTATGTACATGTAACCGCTGTTTCATGGGGATATCCGGGTCAACAGGATGTCTCAATAATATTAACATCTAGCCTCCTGTTTGACTACTTGTAGACACCTACTGCCATCTGCCAATAATATTCCTTTCAAAAGGCATTACCATTTTATAGGAGGTGGCAATATTGCACTGCTTTTGAGGACACCAGACTGACAATAGAATGACTATAAAATGATATACATATTCTATAAACACTTGTCAATAAAAATGCTAAATGCCGTTTGATTGTCATTTTAACGCCTCCTGCGCCAGTGCCAAACATTAGAGGCAATAAAGTGGCTATAAAAATTAAATGACGGCTATAAAATAACGCAGCAAAAAACGGCGGTCACATGTCCATAGGATGGCAGTAGCTATGTTCATAGGGGTATCCGGGTCAACAGGATGATGTCTCAATAATGATTAACATCTAGCCTCCTGTTTACTACTTGTAGACACCTACTGCCATTTGCCAATAATATGCCTTTCAAAAGGCATTACCATTTTATAGGAGGTGGCAATATTGCACTGCCTTTGAGGGTGCCAGACTGATAATAGAATTGCTGTAAAATGATATACAGATATTCTATAAACACTTCTCTTTAAAAACGCTAAAAGCCGTTTGATTGTCATTTTAAGGCCTCCTGTGCCAGTGCCAAACTATACGGGCAATAAAGTGACACTACAAAAATTTGAACTATAAAGACATCACAGGAAAAAACGGCGGTCACATGTCCATAAAATGGCAGTAGCTATGTTCATAGGGGTATCTGGATCAACAGGATGATGTCTCAATAATGATTAACATCTAGCCTCCTGTTTACTACTTCTAGACAGCTACTGCCATTTGCCAATAATATGCCTTTGAAAAGGCATTACCATTTTATAGGGGGTGGCAATATTGCACTGCCTTGGAAAGCACCAGACTGACAATAAAATGACTATAAAATGATATAGATATTCTATAAACACTTGTCAATAAAAACGCTAGAATGTTTTTTGTCATTTGTCTTCAATAAAAAAAACAATTATATTTGCAGTTTGATTGTCTTTTTAACACCTGCTGTGCCAGTGCCAAACATTTGAGGCAATAAAGTGACACCATAAAAAGCAAACAACTATAAAATGACAACACACCAAAAAACGTTGGTCAGATGTTCATAGAAAGGCGGTAGCTATGTTCATGGGGGTATCCGGTCAACAGGATGTCTCAATAATGATGAACATCTAGTCTGCAGTTTGACTACTTGTAGACACCTACTGCCATTTGCCAATAATATGCTTTTCAAGGGGCATTACCATTTGATAAGGGTGGCAATATTGCACTGCCTTCAAGGGCGCCAGATTGACAATAAAATGACTATAAAATGATATAGATATTCTATAAACACTTGTCAATAAAAAACTAAAATGTTCTTTTGCCATTTGTCTTGTCAATAAAAACAATTATTTCTGCCGTTTGATTGTCATTTCAACGCCTGCTGTGCCACTGCTAAACATTAGAGGCAATAAAGTGACACTAGAAAAATTTGAACGACGGCTATAAAAACACATCACAGCAAAAAACAGCGGTTACATGTCCATAGAATGGCGGTAGCCATGTTCATGGGGGTATCCGGGTCAACAGGATGTCTCAATAATATTAACATCTAGCCTCCTGTTTGACTACTTGTAGACACCTACTGCCATTTGCCAATAATATTCCTTTCAAAAGGCATTACCATTTTATAGGGGGTCACAATATTGCACTGCTTTGAGGGCGCCAGACTGACAATAGAATGACTATAAAATGATATACAGATATTCTATAAACACTTGTCAATAAAAACGCTAAATGCCGTTTGATTGTCATTTTAACGCCTCCTGTGCCAGTGACAAACATTAGAGGCAATAAAGTGACACTATAAAAATTTGAACGACTATAAAGACACCACAGGAAAAAAACGGCGGTCACAAGTCCATAGAATGGCAGTAGCTATGTACATAGGGGTATCTGGGTCAACAGGATGATGTCTCAATAATAATTAACATCTAGCCTCCTGTCTGACTACTTGTAGACACCTACTGCCAATTGCCAATAATATGCCTTTCAAAAGGCATTACCATTTTATAGGTGATAATATTGCAATGCCTTTGAGCACGCCAGACTGACAATAGAATGACTATAAAATGATATACAGATATTCTAAACACTTGTCAATAAAAACACTCAAATGTTCTTTTGCCATTTGTCTTGTCAATAAAAAAAATATTCTTGCTGTTTGATTGTCATTTCAACGCCTGCTGTGCCAGTGCCAAACATTAGAGGCAATAAAGTGACATTATAAAATTTGAACGACAGCTATAAAAAGACATCACAGCAAAAAACGGCGGTCACATGTCCATAGAATGGCGGTAGCTATGTTCATAGGGGTATCCGGGTGAACAGGATGATGTCTCAATATTGATTAACATCTAGCCTCCTGTTTGACTACTTGTAGACACCTACTGACATTTGCCAATATTATGCCTTTCAAAAGGGATTAGCATTTTATAGGAGGTGGCAATATTGCACTGCCTTCGAGGGCACCAGACTGACAATAGAATGACTATAAAATTATATAGATATTGAATAAACACTTGTCAATAAAAATGCTAAAATGTTCTTTTGCCATTTAATAATCATTTTTGCGCCTACCGTGCCAGTGCCAAACGTGGATAAAAGGGCAATAAATTGTCTATAAAATTTAAGCAAGGGCTAAAGGATGACAACACGGCGACAAGGTCGGTCAATGTCCATAGAATGGCGGTAGCGAATTTCATAGGAGATATAATTTTGGACGTTCGATAGGACCGGTGTCCGTGAACATAACAGCAGAGAAAACATGCGAGCAAGGTTCTTCTGTGGATATTATCGAATGTGCACAAGAATATTGCTGGTTATGTGGCCACTTAATTTGATTTTCTTCTTTCAGCTCGCACAAAACAAAAATGTCAGGAAGCCAGGAAAGGTCATTTTTTCAATTATTGTTTACATTTGGGCATTTTACTCAGTCTTTTGAAAAAAAAACACTTTGTCTTCAATCTGATAACCTGATAACTAGGAATCAGAGGACAAAAACTTGCAACAAAGCCGAGTTACTATTAGTGGCCAATAAGACAATAACCTCACAATATTTAGAAAGCAATGACAAAGAGAACACAAATGGCAACCTGTTTGGCTGACAAAACTTAGCTGACAAAACCAAGTGTAAGTCAACCAAATAATGCTCTTATGCCCTTGAAAGCTGTGGCACGGATAAAGACTAC